GAAGCCCACACGTCTCTGTGATCATACCGTTTCAACTTCCGCCAGTGCATCTTTCAATTTTGCGTTGGATTCAGAATGACAAACTGTGCTCCCACTTGTAATTTTTGGAGGATCTTAGACTTGCAATGTGGTTGTAAATTCTGGTTTGATTTGTGAAATCCTAATGTGGGGACAATTAAATCATTTCACTAGAGCCGTTCAATAAATTCACTCTGCCCTTTTGTGGAAATGGAGGGATGTTATCTAGCATGATATCCGTGATGAGGTTTCCTAAAACAAGAGCACTAGCTCAAGAAATAATGTCAACATCTTCGGATTTGGCTGGTTTTAGTTGATAGCAGCCAAGCTGTGTGTGTGTTGCAGACTAAAATACTGCTGCTCACTCCAAATCTTTTTTAAAGCCTGCTTTTGATTTTTCTTTTCGCTCACCCACACCCACTCGACCAGTACAGCACTCAATGCACACTCACTGTTGAACAGACGAAACCGTCCTAAGGTGGTCAAATGAAGGTGTGCGAGATGTGTAATAGTGTGCAGTGCACACTACAGGGTGTTTATTCAGTTTGCAGTTGACACCCACGCACGTGCAGCACTCTGCCGATGCAGAGACATGGCACAAAGCAGCAGGCTGCTGTGCCTCGATGAAGACAGCAAAGAACACATGTTGGAAAGCTGCACCAAAGCTCAGAGAGACATCTTTGCGTTTAAGCTTGTGTGTATCCCTGTTTTGTACTGTCTGCATTTTCAGTTCATTACATGAAATAGAAAAAGAGAATGGGCTGCACAGGAAAGGTAACGTCTTTGCCTCAAGGTTGACCACAGGATCTGTGTGAGTCCAGTCAGTTACGCAAGTGGTGTGTGTGTGTGTGTTGCTCTAGGCTCACTTGTCTCAATCCCTTCCCTTTCTATGCCTAAAAGAGGCTACTCTCAAAGATCATTCCAGTGAAAGATTGAGGACATCGCCACATTACATTAGTTCTTGTGACTGCCTGATTCATACAATCTCACTTTTCAGTGTGAACATGAGCAGGCTAACACGTGGCTTGTGCCAGTGGTGTGGTTTTGACTTTAACCTCTGCCATGTTAAATACAAACGTTTAATCTTTGCTGAGATTGGATTGCTATGTGCTTCCTGAAAGAGGAGTTCATAAACTCTGATAAGCAAACACTGTTCATACAAATCTATATTTGCATTCAGGTTAGCAATGAAGATAATATCCATCTCTTGTTCATAGAAAGCGGCAACAAGCACCAAAGAGGGAGGATGAACTTAGCTTGCACATGAGGCCTTCGGTGGCTGCCCCATGATGCAACACGGAAGAATGATGTGATATGAGCAGACGGTGTAAACAAAGCAGCAGGCCCTACTCACACATGAGACTATAAACTGATAAACTGACAGCCTAGGATCAACCAAAACTGCTGCACTAAGACAGCAGAGTGTCAAGTCCATCAGGACATCAGTGGTGTTATGTAAAAGCTTATGAAAACTAGCCGGGCAACGGGGCATACAGGTGAAGTGTTTGATGTCTTTCAAACATGGAGAGCTGTTACTATTTGCCCACGGTTCTCATTTCACTTCTTAATTTGGCTACTCTGAGCAAGTTGTAATGTTCGGCTCATTGTTGTCAGGTTACCCCTGATTGAGAATGTTCCAAGAAACACACAGGCTCCACAGAAGACCAGTGTCGGCGTGTGGGCTGTGAAGTGTACCTTGCGCTGTTTCATTTGGGGCACAATCTCTTGTCTGTCTTTATATCTTACTCGTGTTGCTACCTGCAACAGAAAGTGTTTTTAAACCCAAGTAGTGTGCGAGCTATTAAAAGGTGGCCTCCTTTTTCTAGGTCATTACCAAAAAAGAATGGATGGATTCTAGTTATGAATATCCAAAATTCTTGACAGAGAGGGATGAGAATGGAGAGGCATATTTCTAGCCTGAGGGAGGTTAGGAGGGGATCGAGACGAAGGGGGGTGACAGAGGGCAGGTTCGTGGTGGTTGGAGTGGGGGATGTGGAGTATGTATTTGTGAATGGTGCTGGTACAATCTGGGGCGGCAATATGGGAAGACAGAGGCTCATAGTGTGCTGCCTTGGGAAAGAGGGACACGACAGTTAAGAGAACACAGCGGAGAGAGATCTTGTGATGGGGGTCACGAGAAATAAATCAGACATCAAGCTGGAGAGCGATCCTGTGGCTCCTTTTACGACACTGTGCTGCAGCCCCATAGAAAGAATACATGCTCTGTATTTGACTCTTTTTGTTAGCTACACAATCAGAGTTTTTGTGAGGACCCTGAAGGAAGCAGGATAAACTATGAAGATAGTCTATCTAGTCTACAAAGGAGAGTAGTTTCCCTCATGAACAGAGGGTAGAAACCTTAATTTTGTGGTTTGAGATGAAGGCAATACTTCACTCTATCTCGCTCCACCTTTTTCAGTTACAAACCCCCTGATACTCCCCCCCCCCCCCCCCCCCGTCCACCATCACCAAAGACCTCTATGGAGCCAAGTCCCTTCTTTCTCTGTGGCACGCCGAAAGATGAAGAGCACAGTGCAAGCCTGAGGTGCTCGCAGCTATATTTACTGTCTGCTACGAAAGAGAGGAGAGAGAAAGGCGGATGGGAGGGGTTAAAAAAAAAAAAAAAAAAAAAACACACAGGAACGAAAAAAGAGAGGGAGACAGAGGACGGGTTGCTATGGTGACGGAAATATGGCTGCTCTTCAAAAACCTTGAATGTAGGTGGATGTGAGATGAGTGTATGTGTGTGTGTTTTTTTTTCTCCTCCTCGTCTTTCCCTTTCAGTTTTGCAGATATTATGGATGTGCTGGATCCTTTTTGATTTCATCGAGGACTGAAATACCATCAGCTTTTGGCCTGAGGGCTGTGTTTCTGGGCATAAAGAACATGTATAGAAGGCTAGGGTGAAATGTGGGTTAGGCCCAACAGAATTTCCCCCCTTCCCTCTGTCAAAGCCCCCAGCATATTGGGTTTCATTTGGCAATCAGTGTGGGTCCTGAAAAGCTTAAAAGTGTGTTTTACCCCGTTCAGAGACTGTAGTTTTTCCACTGAATTCAAGGAGGTACTTGTGAATAGAGCCAGAACAACAGTTTGAAAGTGTGCGACTATAATCCAAAGCCTTTTCTTGGGCTCCTTACCATATGTGTAAAATTGGAAACCGGCCATTACTTGAAATATTGCGATGACTTTACAGCCAGAAATGGACTCAGGAGGGCAGAGGAGGATCACTGGAGGAATGCACCCTTTTTGACATCAACCCCTGCTGTCACCTTTCAGGGGAGAGAATTTAGTGTTGGATTCTGAATGTAGGGCAAGTTGTCTTAATCATTTTCATTAAATTAGCTTGCTCCCACCATCTCTCCACTTCTCCCTTGAAACATTTTTTATTCCTTTGCGCTCAAAACTGTGGCATAACCTGCAGGACAAAGAAGCTTTTGACATACAGGCAGTCATAACCAGTTTACTTAATCAACTTGTGAGTCCAGCAGAGGGCTTCTTTAAACCAAAACAACTGACTTACATGAGCATCCCATGTTCATTGAGATTTGAGAAAGTATGGGAAAGTTACTTAGGTTCAATTTTACTGTGCTGTGCCCATTTGCCTTCCCAATTAATCAACATAAATGTACGAGTGCCAATTAAATGTCAAGAGTCCACAACCATAATGCTGCATGTTCTTGGTAAGTTTTGTTCGTCTTTGGCCTTGTTTCAAAAGGTTTCAAAAAAGATATTCACTAACTGGAGGGGACAGGGGAGTAGATAATAGGAGTTTGGTTGAATGACATCCTGGTTTGAAACCTTATTGCTATCAAGGACATATCAATACTCTTACTGCAAAATGATATTTTATGATGCATTATCATAACCTCCCCTCAGGGGGTCTGTTTTGATGTTAATTAAAGGGGACATGTTATGAAAAATCCACTTTTACAGTGTTTCTGATCATATATTAGAGGAGCCCGAGTGTCTACCGACACAAAATGTGAAATAAATCCATCCAGTTCTTTGTGTGTGGTCTGCATAAGTCTTACAATTTAGAGGAAAATGCTCTGTTTCGAATTTGCTCAACTTGTGATGTCACAAGTTGGATTCTGCTAAAAAAAAAAAAAAAATCCTCTCCCTCCCCTGATATCTCCACCCATGGACTCCACCCCCAGCCTAGAGCAAAGCTTTTGCACAGGTCTGCTCATTGCATTTAAAGAGACACACACACCAAAACGGAGTGTTCTGAGAGAGCTGGTTTATACAGGGTCACAAACCTCCTCTGGTTCTTGATTCATGTTTTATTTTGACCACAGCACAGATATTTCAGTTAGACCACAGGGGACTGTTTGAAAAGGTTAGAAAATTGGTATAGTACGTCCTCTTTAAAACTTACTCGACTATTATAAAAAGGTCTTTTGTAAGAACTAGTATGCTAGGCCTATTCTGATGGGATATTATAGAAAACATGTCAAGCTAATAACAGAGAAGCGACATACCAATGGAAAAGGTAGATAGAAGTATAGGGGCTCAAAGGGAAAAGTTTGGGAATCACTGGTCCAAACACCCAAGCACTTCATGGCATCATCATGATTCATCACCACCTATTCAAGCTTTTCACTCAAACAGAGACAGTAAGAAGAATGCACCTATGGCTGGCCTGAACCCCAAATCCCCAGCCCTTTAAAACATGCAGAGTCAGAAAGGGCATAATATATAATGTATTGGTCACAATATTGATTGCACTGTATGTAATTGCTAGAGTCATGCTGATACACTGCCCGTCTCTCCTCAAATCACCTGGGTATCTCTTGTATGAATGAACTGTTCTTGTACTGTATGAGGGCTGCGTTTTTCAGATGCTACTACAAACTCCAGTGACGTAGCCTTTTTTTCTACCATGGTTTATATTGCAATGTGATAACCGGCTAGGCCATATGTTGCTGTGCCCACTATGCTGCGATCTGTGACTTTAACGCTTGCCTCTGTGTCTGGTTCAGGTACGGGAGAAAGTGGCAAGAGCACATTCATCAAGCAGATGAGGATCATTCACGGTGCGGGGTACTCAGACGAAGACAAGAGAGGCTTCATTCGGCTTGTTTACCAAAACATCTTCACCTCCATGCAGTCCATGATCCGCGCCACTGAGACCCTCAAGATCCCCTACAAATTTGAGCAGAACCGGGTAAGAATTAATTTGTCAAAGCAAGAGCAGGAAATATTCTTTATGCCCTTTTTCTAGAGTGTGTTTGTTACTTAGTATGACATCTTCAACTCAGGCACGGATTAACAAAGAAGAGGCCCTCTGAGTACAAACAGCCTGTGACCACAACCTGTATGACAACACCTGTAGTGTAGATCTTACCTGTCATACAGGATGTACACAAAATGTTTGCACAAATACTTTGCTTGGCTTGCAGCAACAATATCAGTGCACTACAGTTTGTAGTTAAATGGTATATAACATCACATAGTGCCCCCGATGGGCTATGTGCTGAAATGATTAGGCTCTGTGTGTCTTAAGATATTACAGTATTATTATTAGCATCTCCATTGCAGCAGGTCTACCTGCTGAAGGTGTTGTTAAACTGATGTCACGCCCAAGATGGTTAGAAGGAAGCGGGCTGTGGCTCTAAATCATGGGCAAAGGAGTGGCTGTTAATGATTTCACATCCGACGGCGTTATCGAGAATCGTTAAGCAGATTGAAAAACACACTCAATTTCCGGAAAGTTCTTCATAATAAAAGTCCCCAATTACAGACTCTTTGAGATGCTTTTATTTTGAAGCAGTCTCATCATTGGGTGTTTTTAGTTGTAGCAACTTAACGCAACTCGGATGAATATAAAAACTTCAAACCACACAGATTCAACGTAGCCTGCTAAAGGTTGAACACAGTGACTTGTAAAAACATCTCATATAGGCTCATTGTAAAACAAGAAACTGAATTGCCTCTCAGGTTTAGAGGCAGCTAAATCAGCCTTTTTTCAGTCACTTTGTAATAGACAAAGTTTTTTTTTTTATCTTGAATCTTAAAATTTGGGTGCACAGTTTAAAAAATCTTTACCACAGATTTCAAATTAATATGCATGGATTTGCTAACTGTGGACTTGCAGGAGATACAATGCTCATTTCAAAACTGCCTTACTTTCAATATTGTTGTGAAGCTACTTGCTGCCAATGCTGTCCTGCACTCGTAGTTAAGGATGATTGTTATGATACACATCATCATGATTAAGCCCCCCTGCCCCAACTCCCCCCGTGCAGTCCAGTTTCATTCTGTGGGAAACACTGCAAATTAATATAGTGACTTTGTAAATAGAGTTTTGCCATTACTAATTGAATAAAAGAGGATCACTTTATCCTGGTTTGTTTGTGCCTGTTCTTGATGGCTGAAATATTAAGTGAAGAGTGTCGAGACTAAAACTGATACGGAAAAGATAAACTGCTGGTCTGTTAAACTTGTTGCCAACCCACAAAGGGGTTTCTGCCATCCGCTTCGGTGTCCGGCTGTCCTGCACATTCGTATCAACAATTGTGTCATTCTCATTGTGAGGCTCCGGCTCTTTGCCAGAGGGGACGAGTATGGAAAAAATGATGAAAATGTGGGTACATACATCGGTATTTCATTCTCCCTGTTATGCTTTTCTCCCTTTTACTTTCCTTTTGGCTGATTCACTGTTTCTTTTAAATCAATTCTCATGGTCACCCGACTCATTTTCGTCATTATAAAGGCACAGCAACAAAAGTATTATAAGTATAGTAACTGCATTCATTTATTGTGGAAAGCAAGGGCAGGATGGTATAGTTGGTGGAGTATTTGTGGCCCTCGGCCCAATCGGCACAGTGGTTAATTTGTATTTGCTTCAACTCCTCCATTGGGGTTGATTTTGTAAAACTTCATTAAGTATATACCTTAAGAGCTTTTATTTTTAGCATTCTTCCACATATAATGTTTGAGTTTTTGAATGACTGAAAGTGAACTAGTTACAGGTGGTGTGGGCACAATACAACTACATTATTACAGTCTATTATTATATGCTTCATTGGCTCTCAATTCCAGTCTTCAGAGCCCTGCTGCTCTTTTATTGTGAACCACTAATGAGGACAGATTTACACCTGGGATACAAGGTGAATTTAGTCCGCTGCTCAGTAGGACAGAAATCCCCCAGTACACTTCTTCACAAGAACCAAGGTTCAAACAGATGTGCTCCACAGTGAAATCTCAAATGGTTGGCATTCACAGATACTATAGTGCAATTGATTTTTTTGTTTGTACATCTCCTCTTTTCTCTGCTCCTTATCTTCTCTGGTTTGTGTTTTTCCAGTCTAATGCCATGCTTGTGAAGGAGGTGGACATCGAGAAGATCAACGGCTTCGACCAGCACTACATCGTAGCTGTCAAATGCCTGTGGTCCGACCCCGGGATCCAGGAGGCCTATGACCGCCGCAGAGAGTACCAGCTCTCTGACTCCACTAAATAGTACGTCTGTCTGTGTCTCTGATTGTGTGTGTCTGTCTCCGTGTGTTGTCATCAGGTATGATGTCTGTTTAGGATTTAAGAAAAATATGAATAACACCATGTCAGAGTGTGCTTATGTAACTTATGTACAGGTATGTCTGTTGTACTGTTTTAGGAAGTGAAATTGAATTCACGCTGATTTTGATACTGAATCCTAACAATCCTGTGTTATTCTCTTTTTCAACTTTTATTTTGAAATTTCAAGCATTTTAAGAAACCTCATAATTAGTAATAATTTCGTTGAGTTCCTGTCACTTTAGTTTCACGTGTCAGGTAGGGACAACTCCAGAGATCAAGTCTAGTTTTTAGTCATTAGGGTGTGTTTGGATGTGTGGTTTGTGGCAGCTTGTGTGGATGTTCTGTTTGGAAAGACATTGTTGGTGTTGTAATGTATGCCGGGCAGGGCAGCACGTGAGTCCACATATGGTTTTTGCAGGCAAATTTCAAAATGACCTCGCCAATTTTGACAAAAAACTTCAAGCCCCAAAAAGAAGAGATTGCATGCATGTCAGTAGTAAGATTAGTTTTTTTTTAATTTATAATGAAGATATAACTTAATTGTATTCTTTTTGTGGTGGAGGTAAATTGTAGAAGCTGAATGAAATAAACTACACGTGTAAAACTAACCACAGATAAAAAAAACAAAACTACAAAAACAGGTGTGTTGCCAAATGTGTGAGATGCCTGTTTTGTGGTTGAGTGTGTTTGGCACTACACTGTAATAACATGTAACCCCAGGCTTAATAGCCACTGGCACTTGACTCACTTTCTGGAGCCCCCTGGTTGTGGACGTGCTGTACTGCAGTTTAAAAATGCTTTAAGCCGGTGTGCATGCTTGCTATGTAAGGAATACGTATGTTGTGGTAAATATGTCATGATTTGTTTTTGAATGTGTTTGAGTGATGGAGAAAGAGAAGAAAGGTGTCAGTGTTATCCACACTGCTGTGATGTATATCTCCAGTTACCTTAGCGATATAGACCGTGTGACTGCGGAGGGATACGTTCCCACCCAGCAGGATGTGCTGAGGGTCCGTGTTCCCACCACGGGTATAATAGAGTACCCATTTGACCTGGAGAACGTCATTTTCAGGTACTCGACCCCCTCCCCCCACCCCATCCCACCCCACCTCATGGCACCAGAACAGCAGTGTCCCCATAGCTCAGGGACAGAAACCACTGATGACTGTCAATATGTTAACATGTAATTTAAAATGGTTTAAAAGAAAAACTAAAAAAAATCTTCAGATGGTGTATACTTCGTGGTTACTATCACATTACTACGGGATGTCATGTTACTCCCTGGGCCCACTTATCTGAAAAGACCCAATATTCCTATAGAAACAAGAAGATAATGTTGTGTTTAAATCAAAAGGCCTGTGGGGCCACATTGGTTGACCTGATTTTGTGTATCAGTGGTTTGTGTTCATAATTGTGCTACGGTTCTGGCTCCAGGACACAAACTAAAGGCAGACATGCTGCACTGAAGCATGTGGGGAGCAGCCACCAAACTCCAGATGAAGAAGGATTAGACAGTGATGTCAGAGATTCTCCAGGAAATTGTTACACAATCAATGAGGCAATGGGCAGAGTTAAAAACACTTGCATTTAAATCGTATTAGGCGACCTTTGGTGAAATTCTAGTAGTAGGGATTTTGTTTCCTGGTCCTGTTGATATCATACATGTTCAAACCTTCTTTATGGATTCCAGGTGCTGCTGAAGTCACTGCTACAGCTGTCACTGATGCCTCCTCACTGTCTAAAGCAGCATCCACAAACTCTTTTACCTCACTCCAAATTGATTTAATTAAAAAAAGAGAGTGAAGGCAAAGCACCATGTTGGTTATTAGATAGTGTTGGTGGAGCAGTGACACTAACTAACACCCTGCTGTTTTTGAGATGTGGCCTTTTTCTGTGAAGCTTTCTCAACAGGACTCATCCACACTTCCTGGAATGGCACGAGGGGTTGCGGTAATTGCCTGTCACGCTTTATATAACTGTTTTTCTGTCTTTTCTTCTCTCCTTATCTCTCTTTTTTTTTTTTTTCTACCCTCGACCGGCCTGCCTGTAGTTATCTTTCCGATCTGGATCGTATTGCAGATCCCAGCTATCTTCCAACTCAGCAGGATGTGCTCAGGGTGCGCATCCCCACCACAGGAATCATAGAGTACCCGTTCGACTTGCAAAGCATCATTTTCAGGTAGACAGATGCCTGTCACGGCCCAGTCTCTCCTTCTTATGACCTCATTAACCCATACGTCATCTTATGTGTTTTTGTTCACTTAATTATATAAACCATGTTCTTTATTGTCCCCTACATTAATGAAACTAACTTTATGCACCTGATTAAGTGTCTGTATCTTATTTTTATTCAACCATTCCCCGGATCCCTTACAATAAAAATCCATACACACTCTCCTTTTACCTCGTGTCGCCAAAAGGAGTGGTACACAAAACACAACCCCCCCAATAAACACAAAGTCCTACATTCTGGTACCCGGTCTCTGTAAATGGGTCACCTCCTCTCTTCCTCCTCCTCTCCTCCTTTCCTCTTCGGCTGGCAGAAGAAATGAGGTCGTCCTCTTCGCGCTGGAGGAATGTTATTTTGGGCAGCAGGTCCTGCAGGGCCTATATTGGCCCCCGGGTCTCTGTGGACCACAGTGGACTGGGCCACCACTAGGGGGCAGACTTGATTTGTGAACTTCACAATTTGTGAACGTCTTTATCAGAGACTATGACACACGCGGTCTGGTGGCATGTACCCCCCATGTCAGGAGGTGAAGAAAAAAAACACGCACACAGTTAATGCCAAGCTGTTATATAAATAGCTTCAGTTCAAAAGGTCTTAACTGGAAAGATTTGTCTAATCGAATGTCGCAAATGAAGGCTTAATGAAACTGGGACCTAAACTCCCTAACGTGTGATGGGTGACCTTGTGAAGGAGACGCTGAAGCAGTGTAAGGATCCACACGTCCTCCAGTCAGTACATCAGGCAGGATTAGTGTTCATGAATGACCTCAGTGCATATAAACCGGTTTGCCTGCAGGTCCATGAGCTGAAATCAAAGTTTTCATGACCACTTAAGCTTGGTTAGTATCGTCAGTTTAACTCTTTAGAATAATGTATATCATTCTTTTTGAGATCTCAGTTTGTAGCTTCTCATGAGGTGACATATGAGGCGTCCCTCGTCTCCGAAAAGGATCCCGCTGTCAGAGGTGCCCCCTGTATCTTTCAACCATCCTGTCCTCTGCGTGTCCTCTGTGTCTTGTGTTCCTGCAACAACCCCCTCCATTTCATGCCCCCACCCCCACCCCCACCCCCCCAAATTTCTCCATTTGTCTTTGTCTCCAATATGCTTCCAATAATCCACGATTGTTTTTGTGTGGTGCTTTATCACACAATCTTTAGAAAGTTAGAAAATCAGTCTCTTAGAGCAACAAAGGTGTTACGTCCCCCACTTCCACTCAATCACTTAAACAGAGGTACAGACTGATCTAGTTTCACATGTTAATTTAACTCCTTTGATAAATGACGCTCAATTTAAGGATACCTGTGAGCTTTTCCCGTCAATAATGTATACTTCTGCTTAAAACTGTGACATAACTTCTAAAAGTTAGAATAACACAATTTCCTACATTGAGTGGCATTTGTTTTAAAAACTGATCCTAGATCTGTCTGTCACTGGGAATTTGAAGCGTTGATTTTTGTGGCGGCATGCGTGACTCACTTACAAGGACATAAGGCACTTGTGTTTTGTTTGTCATAAAGATATCTGCCAGTGTTTTCTCCGAGACCACAGCCAAAAGCTGAGAATTTGATCCGTACTCTTTATGGTGATGAATCCATCAGGTGTGTGTTTTTTCCCAAACATTTTCTCAAAACGAGGTTATTAGGGATAAATGATCCGAAAACAAACAAATAAATGATTGGCCTTCTGCTCTCTAAGGATAGTAGAAATATGTTATGTCACCTGATGTGAGACTCCATCTTTATTTGGGTCATGTGATGAATATGTGTAAAGAAGACAATCACCAGAGAATGCCTTTAGAACAAATCTGCACAAAAAATAGTTCCCTACTGAGTTCTCCTGCTACAGACATAATTTGCACTTTGAGAAAGGCCAAAAATTAGTGTGTGTGTGTGTGTATGTATGTATGTATATATATATATATATATATATAAGATAATTCAATGAATAGGTTTCACAACTTGGCTACACATCTTGATGGATTCAAAACCTACCTCAAACAATACCTGAGAATATTAAGAAATTCTCTGTTAAACAAAACCAGTCTCCTAACATAAGAGCATTTCTAATATGTATTTTTTTCCTTCCTGCATTTCGACTCGTCACCCCTCCTCTCCTCCCTCATTGTGCTGTTAGAATGGTTGATGTTGGGGGTCAGAGGTCAGAGAGGAGAAAGTGGATTCACTGCTTTGAGAACGTCACCTCCATTATGTTCCTCGTGGCGCTGAGCGAGTACGACCAGGTCCTGGTAGAGTCCGACAATGAGGTAGGTGGACATGCTTGCGGATCGTTTCCTGGGTTTGTTACGGATGCATTACCTTGATTTTTTTTTTTTTTTTTTTTAATTATTATTATTTTATGAGGAAACACTCAGAATGTTGCACAAATGTATCTTCACACACACATTTAGAACTACAACAAGTCGTTCCTCTCACCATTACTGTACTCGTCCCTCTCTGCATCAGAATCGCATGGAGGAGAGTAAAGCTCTCTTCAGGACAATCATCACCTACCCCTGGTTCCAAAACTCCTCCGTCATCCTCTTCCTGAACAAGAAGGACCTGCTAGAGGAGAAGATCTCCTACTCTCACCTGGTGGACTACTTCCCTGAGTTTGATGGTGAGATTATCTTTATCTTGGTGTGACTACTCTGAACTGTTCATTTTTTTGATTTATAACGGGTCTAAGTCACCCTTACTGATGAATAAAAGTAGCTCAAGATAATATATTATATATATTATGATAGTATTCTTTACAAGAACAGTAACGCTGGCGTTAACATTACCTATATCTGTGTATTACCGTAAAATCCGGTGTATAAGACGCACTTTTAATACCAATTTTTTCGTCTTAAAAGTTGGCTGCGTCTATACACCAGTGCGACCAATATACCAGTATAAAATACTGAAACACTGGCTGCGTGACTTTTTTCACATCTTTTCGCCCTCACGAGGTCATAATCATACATTTACAGTAAACTGTCATATATTGTTCCATAAATAAACATTGTGGAGCGCTCTTTTGATTTAAAAAGTCCTATATTAAAGTTAAAGAGTGACCAGCGGAGTCGGGCAGCGCAGCTCACAAGCTAGGAGTCTGTGCCACACAACTTTCCCTGCAGGCTGAGAGCTCAACTACCGTACTGTAGCTAGCAGGAGAGCAAACTCCACAAAGTGAAACAGGCCGAACTAAAAGAGCGACACAGCTGCACAGAAACTGCATGTTGTAGACATCGCTGAGCACAATATAAATCGTCACGCAGGAAGACAGTTAAACCATTTTTTTCTCTCTAAGAGACCTTCAAAACAAGGGTGCGTCTTATATACTGGTGCGACTTACATTCCGGATTTTACAGTACCTACCATATACACTGAGCAGCTATAACACTATGACCACCTCTGCAACTAATTCTGGCCTTAAACCAAACGGCATTTCAAGCAATTTCAAATGTACAGACAATGACATTATTTCCAAAGTTGGAATAGAGTCACAAGAGTTTTGGGGCGCGCTCTCATGATCTCAGTCGTTTGGTGTAAAGTTATTTGTTAAAAGTAAATCTGTTCCATCTGATTTTGCAAAAAAAAAAAAAAAAAAAAGCCAATGAATTTCAAGCGCTGATAATGTATGCCTTAAAATTGGAAAAGTTACAGATCAAGCCATTGTTCGTCAACAAATAGTATTGAAACGATAGTAGCATACAAATAGTATTTTGATATATCTTGTTTTTGATACAGTGTTTGAGTCAGCATGAAGTCTGACAGCAGGGGGAAACACCTAGCATGGGTCCGTTTTTAGCTAAGCTAAACTGCGTCTCTAATCTAAAGCTCCATACTGAATGCAGACTTAGCAGTTAGTAAAACTGTATTTGAAAATAGTTGTTCACCTTTTAATAAGTTTAATGCTCGTCTGTGTCTCAGGTCCCCAGAGAGATGCACAAGCAGCGCGGGAGTTCATCCTCAAGATGTTTGTGGACTTAAACCCAGACAGCGACAAGATCATCTACTCCCACTTCACGTGTGCGACGGACACTGAGAACATCCGCTTTGTGTTTGCAGCTGTCAAAGACACCATCCTACAGCTCAACCTCAAGGAGTACAATCTGGTGTGAGGCTTCTCGTATGACACCCGTCTCCTGCCCATTGCACAACTGTTCACCTCCTCCAGGAGTGTGCGCCCAAACTCCACACGCATTACACAGCACATCATGCCGGCTCACACACACACACACAAACACACACACACACACACACACACAATCACACCAACAGAGCCCTTCATGCCCCCCTCCAGTACTATACATTCACAAATCGTCCCACCTGTAAACTCCTCCCCCCGCTTTCACCAAAGCTCCTCCTTCCTCCTTCGCTCGGCAGCTTGTTGTGTCAGAATCCTCCTCGCTCCCCCCCAAAGCAGCTCCGTGTCAGATTTGGCTCCGGCTGATGCTGGCTCTGGCACATTTCATCTGGCACACAAACCTTTCACACGGGCTGTATGGTGACTTAAAGGGACTTTGTTGTATTTGTGTGTGTGTGTGTGTGTGTGTGTGTGTGTGTTTTCGGAGCAGCATTGACTAGCGAGGAGCTGTGTTTTGGTGACTAGCGGCATCTAACCCCTTTGGCTCTCAGGAGTTGACCCTCAGCGGTGTGAGATCAGATCCTCGGTCGTGTCCTTGTTGAACTCAAGTCCAAGTGAAGGGGGGGGGGGGGGAGTGGAATTGGTACCTCCTGAAACCAATCACGGACCAGCGAGCATCATCATGCTTGTAAGGACAGAGTGGCCCATACAGGAAGCGAGGTCGACACTGGATACAAGGGGGGGGTGGGGCTGAGGATTCTGTCTCTACCTGGCATCTATGAATGTACCCACCAGTGTGAGCATCGCAATCGCAAAAAAAATATATAAATATATATTATGAAGTAAATGCATATGTAAACACACTTAAGATAAAAAGCACGAGATGGCAAGACATAGCTAATCGAAATCTGTTAATTGCTGAGATTTTTAAAATGTTTTTAACGATAGAAATTTGTTGCTACATCTACTTCTATTTAACAAATAATGGCTAAAAGGAACGGAGATCAGAAGTGGTAAGAAAATCTTTAAAAAAAAAAAAAGCACTACACTTTGATTCTTTGCAAAACAAAGACGTCTGAAAAGAAGAATTTACTTGACATAAGTATCCTCTAAAGAGTTTGTGTGGGATTTTTGTGTTCTTTATGTTTAAGTTTATCACATCGCATCCCTCCTCCAGATGTTTTCTGCATGGATTCAAAAGGACAGAATCTGACTCCACCTACAGCCCCAACCTCTTAAAACCGAACATTCAGTATGTGAGAGGAGTCCCTGCTTTTGTAGTGGGCTGTGCTCTGATTGGTGGAGACAGATGTGGAGGGGCGTGTGATGTCATCAGCGTTTTCAAGCCTTGAAGAGAACATCTGCAACTTGGGCTGCAAAGAGTGTATTCAAGAAGATGAAAATTAGAAATCAAACACACCCACATGTTCTGTGAAGTGAAAGGAATCCATGCAGTCACATCCCGGCTAACATCACACCTGCGTCACTCAGCCGTCCAATCAGACACACTTCCTGACAGTGACATCACATCAGGATGTGCTTCTGTTTACTTTATTTTTTACTGTATAGTCACTTTGTTTATATAAAGATTGCTTGCTGTTGAGTGGTGAGAGGGAGGGAGGGTGGGCGGGGCTACGAACCTTTCACTAAAAGCGCACTCTGAAGTCTGCAAATGTTTGTGTATATTTGTTTGTAAATACATATACACAAAACACTCCTGTACAAAAAAAAACGCTCTGTGGTACACCATCTTTAGCAAAAAAAAAAAAAAAGTAACAAAAAATCAACAAAAAAAGTTACAACTTCTTTCATTAGCATACAGTTTTTCTTATGAATTTCTGGTAGTAGTGATACTGTGATTATGGATTATGTTCACTTGATTAATAGGACTGCACAGAGCTGAGTGGTGTTGAGGAAACGATCAGCAAAGGAGCAATAGTCAGAGAAAAGAGGTTCCTCCCAACCAGCCTCTCGATTCCACACTACTGCAACAGCTCTGGCTCCTCGGTGTGCTAAATAGGGCTGGTAAAAATCTTCACAGTATGGTGACAAGATGATTTTAAGAGTAATTAAAGAATTTTTTTTATTTATCTAATTTATGGACCAGGTATGAAGGTGTTGATAATTTGACTGCTTTTGATTCTGTCATGTTGAAGTGCTCCTTTTCTCATGGCGGAGCCTACTTGAGTCTGAACTGCTGTAAAAAAAAAAAGAAAAAAGAAAAAAAAAGAAGAAAAAAAAAACTGAATGTCTGGTATAGTAAGGACTTTATCTCTGCTTTCTATTTCTTATTGAGACATTTACAATTGTACTTTGCCATCACATCTCCATCCATGGTAATACTGTTTGGTTTTCTGTAGGAGCCCTCACATTTGTTTTGGTTGATTTATTTTTTCTTTTATTAAGAAGAAACTTGTATTTTCTCTTGGTTTATAGGCGCAGCGCTGTAACGCATACCTAGAAAAATGTACAGTACGAACGTAGGTGGACTTTCTTCTTTTTTTTTTTTTTTAATCAGTGGTTGAAGGCCTACGCGGTCCATGCTTGCTATTTGTAATTTAACACAAAAACTCTGTTGTCGGTTGTTTGCATTGTTCATTTCCAGTTTTTTGAGGCTTGCTTTGATAGTGCCAGTGAAGTGCAGATATACTTTTTGGGTCTTTGACCTTTTCTACAGATGACTTATCCTTCATCCTCATTAAGGGCTATCACAGTGCATCAGGCATCAGACAGCGGGGAGTGGAGTACATGACCACAGTGAACCAAGTCATCCACTACTAATAATTGTTTATAAATGGAGATTACTTGCAGTATGTGCTATAAGAAGTATAGGCAGGATGTTAATGTAAACATAAGATGTGTGTAGAGAGTTTACCAACACTAAGTAGTTTTCTTTGTATTTCTATATGTGTCTGGCCCTTTGGTGACTTAAATGTACCCAGTGTCTGGCTCTCAAACCTTCACAACTTCTCTTTTGGTATTAAAGTGTACCCTTTATACCTATCACTAAAATACACTACTACCAGGACAAGTATTGCATGTTTTCCCAAGTATTTGACCTCTAGCTGATAGCCAAGTAATGACCATACTCATGATGACTTTGCATGTTTTAACCCATTAACTACAAATATCTTATTTTATTTCAATTATTTTTCCAAGTTTGTGATCTAATACTCCGTGGTACCTGTTGGTTTCCATTCATGCCAGAGAGTTTTGATATGTAACTTGATTCAAATTCAGTTTGATTCTTGGAGAAGATCTGAACCGAAGTAAAAAAAAAAAAATTAAAAATGTTTTGTCATGCATCATTGCACATAAGATACAGAGGTAAACATTTTGTTGGTTCAGCGATTAATTTGGCTCTAAAATACAAGATTTAAAAAGCTGACTGCTGTCATAACATTTGAAAACTGCTTTTTGTTATTCAACCAGATTTACAGGGCAAACCAATGTAATGTAAACTGAATTTGATGTCCTGTTTTTTGGGTTTTTTTTCTGCAACACAAAATGCTTTACCTGTATGCTACACTTTGTAGAACTCACTGAAATCATTTTATTTTTGGTTTGTATTGGGATTGCTAACGTGCTAAAATCTACATCAGAGGCATGTCGTAACCAAAAACAAGTCGAATACATTGTACAATGACACGTGTTAAAAAAACATCTTCAGATAATTTGGAATTGATTATGTCAGGCCATTTACCTGAATGCTAAATCGGTTTGATACCAGCTCTGATAAACAATCTGCCGTACCTGATGACTGCCACCTTAAGACTGAGACGAGTTTTCACCAGTCTGTGTTCATGTCACTTTGAAAGGAGCTCTTCTTTGATTAATGGAAACCAAAGGCTGCCAAGAAGACAGGGAATCAATCAAAAAAAACTCAAGTAATACCTTGAAATCAGTCAACAGTTTGAACACTATCAAAGTAAATGGGGCAATCATATATATATTATATAAAAATGTTAAACCTATGTTGTCCTGAACTGCCATTTCGTCTGCTGAAAACAACATGAACCCTGAGTGGAGAAGCAGACAGCCAACCATTATTAGACTGCTGTCTCAAATAGGGCCAGGATGCTAGCTTGAAGTGACACCGGTATGGATACCCAAGTATTAATCAGTAGTGTTGATACTGTGTGTTGAGTGCAGCTCACTGAATGGTTACGAGCCATGTTGTATTATTGGACTTGACACTACAACTCTAGCACATGGTTTAAGGGCTGACTGGTTGTTAGTTAGGGTTTGGTTGTGTGTTAGCAGCCCTGCATTGCACAGTGTGTTGTATTTAAAACATGTAATCTCAATATTCATATGCGAGCTGGAGAAAGGCGAGAGGCAGTCCCTCTGAAACTCTTCATTCTTTACTTCATGGCAGTTTTTAGCGATGATAATTGTTTCACTACACCTTCCTTATTTGCACAGTATTTTTTTTTCTCTTGACACATTTAATCTCTACATTATATATGAGCTTGATAGAGGCGAGGCTGTAGGAAACTTCTTGTTTTTTGTTATCCGTGACAGTTTTTAGCAAAGTCCAGTGCAGTGTGACCCGATTGGGTTTTCACTAAAACACTCTTATTTGCACAGTGTGTGATTTTTTTTTTTTACACTAATAATAGTTAGATTTTAGCTGAAGAGAGGCAAAGCAGACTTTATGAAACTACCCGTTCTTTTCTTTCTTTTTTTGTGACTGTTTTGAGCAGTGACCAGTGCAGAGAGTTGAGATTGGTATTTTACTACAATTATTTATTGCCTTTCATGCCTTGAATAGAGAAAGATGGCCCCCTTTTTTTTCTTTTAAAGGTTTTCAGAGCTTTTGCTTTGTTGCCTTCTGGGTGGCAGTGGTTGTGTGATGTCACTTCCTGTTGGCTTGTTGATTGACTAAGTGGAATCAAACGTATCTCTCGTAGACCAGTGGGGACTTGTTGCATACTCTAAACTTCAATCTTTTCCCCCCTAATGTTGTGTTATTCCTTTGCTCTTTGATAACTAAACATTACCATTACACTGTTTTTTTTAAGGACCACTTGATTGATTTTTTTTTTTCTTCACTCCAATGAAACCTGAAGGTCAATTGTGTAGTAGTGTATGAAATTGACGTTTTCTTTTCTTTTTTTTCTTTATTTTGTATGTAAACCAAATGTAAATGATGTATTATATTGAGTGTGCCAACCCCACTCTCTCTAGAGCCAGGCTCTCTCTAAGTGCCAACGCTGTGGTCATCAAAGGACCACACCTGAGATGGTCCCCCACCCCCCACCCCCACCCCTCCCACTTTTTAAGTAAAACACACCGGAGACTAAAAAAAAAATAGATGATTAAGTACACACAAAGACTTTATTCTGTATTTAAGATTGAAGATTTAAAAGATAATCTGCTGTTTTTTTAAGAAACTGTAATTATAATTGCATGTGCTGTTTATTTTGTGTTGAAAGTGAGGGCTTTGATGTTTTCATTGAAGCAGAGCCCTTGATGAAGGGGGGTTCAATCAGTTGGTTATTATCAATTATTGATTTACATAACTCTTGCCATATTTTTTTATGTGTTTTCATGTATTTGTTTCAACCACTGTTGCCTGATCCTCATTCAAACATGAACATGACTTATGATCATTGCCGCCTTCTAAGAGAAACATAATGACAAGGTATCTGTTTTAAATTGAAATAAATTTGTTCCTATACTTGCTCACGGTGTGTCTGAGTTGGTTTTATGATTCTGAATGCTTTAAACTTGAAAATATTCAGATGTGTTTGACTGTACAGCAAAGATCCTGTGTCTGTAAGTATACATTTCTTCACAAATTTGAATTTGAAAAGGTCTTAAAATGTGATTTCAGAAGAAAAATATATTTAAATGGGAGCTTAAGATTTTCATCCTTTTTAAGGCTCTGATTGTCCAGAATAGATGCATCTGTGCATATCGAACCCCTGTTGATGGTGAGCATGGTCTGCTGCCCTTGATGGATGATCTTGCTGTATACTTGATATCCGTGTTGGGTCGGCAGTAGAACTAGCCAGAGGTTTATGCAGTGGTGTAG